TTTTCTTTTATTTCACCCTGGTCTTCGACAGGCTAAGTGTTTTCACGCCTCTTTATTCGACTGACGCTGCTTTCTGCTTCAATTGACACTCCCAGACGTTATCTCGCATGTTCAGCTTGCTCAAATCAACAATCGGTGCTCCTCGCCTCACGATCCAGTGACACTTTGCCCAGCCACCATGGACGCGCAGTGGCAGCAATACTACTGGAATCATTATTTGATGCAGCAACATCATCAGCAGCTCACCAACCCTGACACCACAACTTCACCTCCCACCACCACTCACCACACCTACAGCCCCACAGGCACCTATGGCCCACTCACCCACGCACTCCGTACACACCACGTCCACCACTCCAACCCGTACGTGACTCCACCATACACACCGCCATCGCAGCATACACCGCCACCACAAGCACCAACATCACAGCCGGAGTTTCCACCTCCACCCCCGCCCCCCCTCCCTACGGCCGAACCTGTCACTCCACCGCCATCGACATTCCAACACAGCCCACCACCACCACCAACCGCCCGTGGCAGCACAGCGCCTGCCCCACCACCACCACACATCCCATCCCCCACTCCACCAGTTCCAGACTCTTGGAACCCAACCGACCAACATTGGGACTCCAACACCCTGCACGGCCACCAACTACATCGTACAATCCAACCCACCCAGTGGTCTCGAAAAGCAGGCGTGGCAGGACTCCCAACCTTTGAGGTTTTCCCTTGGCAATTGGCTTACCACGGCACCTCCGAATTTACCGCCCGCACACTGAGCAACGGCAAATACACAGGATTTATTGCCACCAGAAGCATTGCGGAGTCGGTTTTCGTGACCCACTTTCTCCAACAGCTCCGTGAAAAACGCCTTGACCTTGACGGCATAGCGGAGACCCTCCACACCCAACAGAGCACGGACATCCCCAACAAAACCACCCACGCCCGAGCGTTTAACGCTCCCCTCATCAAACTACTTATCGACCAACTACAAACACATTCTCCAGCACCTGCGGAAGGCACCGCTCTACGCGCCCTCAAAAACACCAACGACGAACTGGCCCGCGCACGTCAAAAGCTCCACGACCTGGGCAACCCACTTACCCCAGTCAAGAGCACCAGCCGATCTTCCGCACCGGCCGCCCCATCCCATGCACCCACTCCACCACCACCAAAACCGCCAGCCCTCACTGACGTCTTGCAACCCCCACACCCAACACTGCAAGACGATATCCCCGAGGGCTGGAACCACCCAGAGATCCAACAATGGGTCACTACTTTCGACCCCACCATCCAAGAAGCCGCCAAGGACGTCGTTCGTTTGCTGCAAACGAGCAAAGTCACCACGCAGCAGCTAAAAGAAGCAGCCACAAGGTACGGCCTACCCCTCAACCGGGTCAACCGGCTCCCCATTCGTAGCTTACAACAGCTCGTGGGTGTTGGAGCAGCCATCGGCTGCTGACTCGCCATCCTTGCCCAGCAGCAACCCAGCCACACCAACCTCACCCAACTTTTCCACTTGCACCGAGCACTCTCCGTGCTCATTCACCGCACCCAATACATCGACCGTGCCGAGGCCATCTTTGCCACTGGCCTTATCCATATCACACTCCTTTTCGCATACCCTTCCAACACCCGTCGCTCACAACAATGGCGCAACCGTCCCCGCCAGCTTCACATCTTGCCCCACACATACCACTACCACAACTTCCTTTCCTCAAATTCCGTATACATCAAGCTCCACTTCAACCCTGACCAGCCCCAACGCTGCTACCATCAACATGGTCACTTCTATGTTGGCTCCACAGCCATTGGCATTCCCCACCGCGAACACAATCGCCGTGCCAAACTCAAACAACTCCAGAACAATATCCCCATTTCTGCCGAACTCTCCTTACGTTATTGGCACTCACACAACAACATCCATCACTACACTACCATTCAACTTACCTCCCATGACACATACGACCAAGCCTGGATCCAAGAGCACCATTACATCGCAAACTGGATGCCTACGCTCAACTGGCCGTTTATTTCCCACCACCTCAAGCTCAAAGCTCAAGGCTGGCAGTTCACCAAACACAGAGCCCATTTCTACTCCAGATTAGCCACCCACAAACGACTCTTCCGACGCCTTAGGCAACGCCAATACACACTCAGAGAACCACACCTTTACACCTCCACCAAGCATCACGCCCTCCAACTTCTCCGCAACCTCACCAAACACACAGCAGCCTCCTTTGAAGCTGCCAAAGAGCTACGAAGCGGCCGCCACACGGACCTTGAAGTCTATGCAATCCGGCGCATGGCCGCAAACCTGGAAGAACCCGGCCGCAGCAGAGCTCTCCACATCCTCAACAAAGCCCTGATCTACCGCAACCTCACACCGCCAAAACCAAATATTCCATTGACAGTGCCATTCCTGGCCCACGACGATTTCACTAAGCACTGCCAGCAGTGGCTTCGTACTACCATCCAGCAGCACAAGCACTTCACCATCCCCCTCCACCTCCCCTCCCACAGACTGCGAGAAGCCGCACACAAAACCCTCCGTTCCCACCTGCATAACCACCGCACATGGGAGGACACCCTCCACTCCCCGCCAGATCCAGCAGACCTCCCCTGCGCATGCGATCATCTTCGCACCCTCTTGCAGGATCCCGATACCCCCACCATCAACGGCCACTACATTCTTACACTTGACCAACTCCAACTCCCTACACATCTCGGCGTTTTTCTCAACGCCAATATGAACAGCACCTACTACCCAAGCAAGGCCCGATACTTCCTCATGTTCCAGACGGCCTACACAAAATGGCTCAAACTACAAGGGCTTCCGCCATCCCTCGTTCAGCATTTGCAGCCATTCCTTGAGCACCAATGGCGCCTCCACAACACACACCTCAAGCAGCAACCCCGTTTTACGGCTCGCCTGCTTCGCCAACTCCAAGAACACCTCGGCCAACACACATTACTTCACCATGCCGACCATGAGCTCCAACAACTCCGGCTGTTCTGCCCTCGCCAATATTTCACTGGCGCCTTGAATACATGGCAATCCCCCGAACTTTTCGAACCACTTCCCTACATCACTGCCACCAATATCCACGATCACCTGGCAGCCACTGTCCCCCCCATTTTGCGCACTCGCTACAAGTGGGGCTTCCGCAAAGACTTCAACATTCCTTACGGCGTTGTCCACCTCAAGGAGAAGAAGCACTGGCAAAAAGGCCGTACAATTATCTCATACTTCCAATCACTCAGTGGCAACCTGCTTCGCATTACCAGCCGTGCCCTTGACATCATCCTCCAACACCTCTACCCTCAGCATCCCGGCCAAATGTCCATTCCCCAGCTTTGGCACCATTTTCACAGCTACCTCACCCAAACCCCACCAGACATCTCACTACACGCCACCAACGATGACCTGGTCGGCTTCTTCAACTCAGTCCCACAGCACCGACTCATCGATGCGGTTCACTCCCTCGTCCACCACTGGCAACAACAGCAACCCACACACACCCTGACGGTGGATGTTCAGGCCACCGGCAATCCTTTCCACCACTCACACATTGGCAGACACCATCGAAAACACCCTACCCAACGCACCATCCAGACTTCCGACATTACCACCATCGTGGCTTTTGCCCTCAACACATGCATTTTCCGGGCTTGCAACAATACTTACAAACAAATCCGAGGGGCCGGGATTGGATCCCAGCTCTCTCCAGCCCTATGCAATGTCGCCATCACCCTCATTGAGCATTCCTGGCATCAGATCCACAACAACCTACTTCAACACACAGACCTCCACTTTACTTACTATCGATATGTCGACAACCGCTTCATTGTCCACAACGAACATTTCCTCCAACACCCAGCCATTCAAACCCTCATCCACCACAACTTTTTTGGAGACCCAGTGGAACTCGAACCGGTGGAGGATTTTCATCTCCTCGGTTTCAACATCGACCTCCCACAACGCACCATCACCTACATGCAACCTTCCCAACCCTGGAAAATCAGGGATTCCACAACCACCGGGAGCCAGCGCTTGGCTCTATCAGGCCTCCAATCACGACTCCACACCATTCGCAAATACACCTTTCCACCCTCCAGCGCTGAAGCTGCTGCGGCTGAGCTCGTGAGGCTCTATGTCCAAAAAGGACACAACCACCACGCCTGCCACCGGTTTTTGAAAAAAGCGCCGAATGCGGCGACCTGTGTGTGTCCACCCCTGGACAAAGGGTTTTCCACCACCACTTCTCACAGGCAGGGGGGTGCAGAGCAAAGTGGAGACTGCACCCAACGAAGCTATCCACTTGTGCTGGAAGCAGAGCCTGATCAGCTCTGTGCACCTGCCGTTCTACCAAGCTGTGACTCCACTCTTCCTTTGGTTTGCTGTCATGGTGGTTCCATGATACTTCCCCAAAACCTTCCTTTTGCCGCGTTTGTCTTGCAGCTGAGCCGCGCCGACCGATCTTTCAGCAGACTTGACCAACAACTTGTTGAAACACCTACAAGTCTTTCGGACTCTTCACCATGCAGTTCTGTCACCTTCCTTCCCAGCGTGGGAACTGAGTTAACTGAATACAAGTGTCAGAGTGTGCCATGTACTCTGAAGCAACTGCATTGTGTATAATGTTGTGTAATGTACATATATTATATACAGAGAGAGAGAGAGAGGAGAAAAAAAGACTGAGAGTACGCAAAATAAATTGCAAGATACCTGTAACATCTGCCATCTGCAGCAAAAACACACCTCGAAGCCATATTGACTTTGTTGGAGGCTTCAAACAACTCCATGCTACAGTATCGACTCCGATCCCATCCCGCCTAGCCCAGTGGCCTCCTCGAGGCCCACTTTGTCTTCAATCCCACCCTAATTGACATTGACAACTATCGAACAACTATATAGTGATCATTGATAATAATAATGCAAATATATGTAAATGTAATCCTGCAAAAGAAAACAGAATATGGAACCTCAGCTGTGCAGTTCACTCCCATTCGCTCTCTCCACCAAAACCCGAAGCCAGCCACCCATAGGCCACTTCATCCAGGTCCACATCGTCGGATGCCACGGGTGCGGCCAGCAGTTGCCGGGCCACCGTGCCCGCGCGCCGGAGCGGAGAGGGACGCGCAGGATCGGTGTCCGCACCGACCATCGCGACAGATGGATCTGCCCAGGTGGGACTGGCTTGGTGGGACTTCCTTGAGGGATAACAAAGACACGGAAAATGGGTGATTCTGCGAGGTGTTGCGGGAGATGGAGATGGTTTCGGGTGGTGGAGTGGAAGTGGCTTTCAGGATATGGGGCACCAAAAATGACCCTTCCTAGCTTCTGTATGCCAATGTTCTGAGCGTTTGAGTTTCCATTGTCATCCATCCAAGAGAGTTTTGAGCTGTGGGCTTTCAAGGTATTCAAGCTGAAGGCGGCTCAAACACAAAAGGGCTGAGGCAAAACAAAACCATCCTCTCTAACAGGAACCGGTGGCCAATGACACAAAGAATCAACTCGCGGCAACATAGAGGTACAAGGCGTTCACAAAAGCTATGCGGCCAAAGCCGAAAAGGACACCAAGTCAAGTGCACCCAGGACGAAGATCTTCAGTCACAGTGTGTCAATCGTTCAACCATGCTACCGGCAATGTTCCAATGATGGCACATGAGATTTAATTCATGATTTATAGATAATTACTGTATAGGTATAGTTTAATTGAGTGCTTGCCCAACCAAGACCCGATTCCCTTCTTGCGCTACACCAACTAGTTTTTGATAGTTTTTGTCCATGCCATCATCTTTAACCAGCTCCTGATCTCAGCACAAAACCTTGCCCCGCTACGCCGAACGCCCCGCGCAGCGAAGCTGGCACCTACGAGCTCCTCTGTAGACCAGGAGTTGTCTTTCACCATGAAGACTTCCACACCTGGCGTGTCTGTGATGGTCACCGTGGAGAGCATCGCGATGAACACATGGACACGAGCGGACCTACTGAATCCCAATGTTGCCCAATCGTGTCCTTTTGGGCCCCAGGGGCGACCGGTTCGATCCAACACGACAGGGGCGTGTCCTTTTTGGTTCCCTGGGTCCAACACGAGGAGCTCCCCTTGAGGAGATGTCCCTTGGTTCTGCTGGGCTCCATCTCCTCTGTTCCGCTGGTGCCCGGACGGACTTCGCCGTCGACTGCTCCGTGTCGGAGCTCCGTGTCGGGTGACATCTCAGGTCCTGACTAATCGGCCATCTTCACATCCTTTAGTCTCTTATGGACCGCTCTTGGTGAGGCTTCATTGGGCAACCAGGGGTTACCACCCAGAGCAACCAGAGATGCTTAGAGCTTCCACTCGCCCTTCACAAGCCAGCTTCATCACGTTCTGGATGTGTTCTTCGTCACCGTCCCCTCCCCAAAACGGAGAAACGCCACCGACCGGCGGTTTTCATCGTCATGGCTCACACCCGGGGAGCCGAAAGGGTGGTCGATGGGTCGGTTCAGCCGGAAACGGGGGGTTGGAAGTGAATCGTTTCCACTGAGAAACTCAAAGGGTACCAGCAACAGCTGGGGATGTGAACACACACATCCTGAGGTGTGAACGTCTTCTGCTTTTGCGTTTTCGGAGGTGAACGGGAGCTTCCGTTCGCATGGGCGGAAGAAGACCCTCCAAAGGGTGCACCATCTTGCACGTCTCAAGAGAAAACACCAATCTTGGGACCAAGTACCCAATGGATCCAGCTACCATCAAACAAATGATTGAGTTTTGTATACCGTACCATACCGTATACCGCATATACCTAATATACCAGGGAATCCAAATGTGGATCTTTTTTTGTTCAAACACGTTCGCACAAAAAATCCGTGCATCCGGCCTTTTTTGTCAAATTGGACAAATTTTCTGGAATTCCTCCGAATATTGAGTTTGATTGGGTTTTATCAATATAATTGTTTGGGTTTTTGTCAATAAAATGTTGATAAAGTTTGGGTTTCATATGGGTATGCTTTTGTACGGTATTGTTTTTTGTCAATACGGCTAAAGACGCTAATTCGTTAATTAAAATGTCCGTACGATAAATTCTGTCCAAATACGGTCTTCGCACAAAAAAAGTGTTCATACGCCTTTCCTGAACGGAGAATTTAGGCTCTTAAACTCTGTGACCCCAAGTCACTGTCCCAAAGGTTGTAGTAGAAGCTTAGGCCCACTTTTAGCTCCACTCCAAGCGTAGCTCTGGTAGTGAAATGAACACAAAAGTAAACCACAAACGGCTGCAGTGAAACATACATCTATACAAGCTATGTCATGTACATGTAACTGGTGCTACATCTGATCACGCCTCCCGAGTTTAACTTCTGGGAGATGTTAACCGAGTCAGGATTAGCACTTTTAGTGAATTAGCCCATAGCCCTTCAGTACATCTTGGTCTTGTAGAAGTACCTACTCTAGCTCAAGCCGTTCACGCTTTCAAAGTCAGTTCATGCTCACCTTCCAGGTAGTGGAAGTTCATGCCTTTCATAGCTGTAGTCATTTTCTCTTCGGTGACAGCTTTCGTTAGCACGTCGGCCAACATTCGGTCGGTGCCTTCTTTCTTGAGGCGAAACTCTTTCTTTGCTGTACGCTCTTGTACCCAGTGGTACTGAGTGTCAACATGTTTAGCTCGTCCCAAGCCTCGACGGTTTCCCATGGCGATGCCAGCGGAAGCGTCCATTGTCACCTCTTTGCTGGGAAACAATCCCCAGTCTCTTGCTGTTGATGCGATTCCAAGCATTTGACATGCTCCAGAAACAAGTCCGTAGTACTCGGATTCGCCACTGCTCAGGGAGACAACTCCTTGGCCTTTGCTGTATGTTGTGAGACAGCATTTGTTGGCCATGAGTACGCCTCCTGACACACTCTTTCGTGTCCTTATGCAACCTGCATGGTCGGCGTCTGACCACATGTTGAAGGGGTTGCAGGTGCTTTGGTTTGGAAACAACTGTGCAACTCTTGGTCGATACCTGACATATCGAGCCAATCGTTTCAGCATATTCCAGTGCCTCGATGTTGGGTTCTGTAGACCTTGTGCCAATGAGGGCGTTGCAGTTTGCAGATCAGGTCGATCCTGTGCCAAATACGCGGCTCTCATAGCAATAGATCTATACATCGTTGCATCTTCGGCACTCAGCGGAACTTCTTCGTGTTGGAGTTCCTCTTGACTTGGCTTGGCCAAGGGGGTCTTGACCTTGCCTGGTTGACCAGTGCCTAACCACTTGATGATCAACTCTGCATGTCTTGGATCTGGTTCCCACCAAATGCCTTCATTTGACCAGGTGATGATGCGATTCAGCACTCTGATCTGTTGGCTTGCCTTTGGCGAACCTGGTGGACCGAGAATGCCTCGTTCCACAACTTGCCATTCTTTGGCTGCTGAAGTGTGAAACCATTTGATGTCATCAAAACTTCCAACGGTCGTGAAATCGTCTCCATGCACTTCTGTTCGAAGTTCTCTGGATGCATGGTAGTAGATGCATGGGTTGGACTTGCCTTGAACAAATCCTAGCTTTTTCATAAACTCTGCAATGGTCAGCTCACAATTCATGGGTGCGTCTCTGGTGCCGTAAAGGCTTCTGACCAATCTTCCTACCACATCTCCATCTTCAGGTCTCTTGCCTTCTGATGGAATTTCAACATAGAGTTCTCTTGTTGCTTTAGAGTAGAAATGAGCTCTCTTCACATCCAAAAATCCTAGGAAAGATTGCTTTGCTTTTCTTCTTTCGCCTTTCTCCAATGGAAGGCTGTCGCTGACTGCAATGGTTAGCAGTAGCTTCAAAGCTGCAAGGCTCGGCATGGCTGCGAAAAATTCGTCAAAACCTGAGCCTCTTTTGATCTCTTGCGCTACCAATCGACTTCTGTAGAGAGGATTGGTTTCATCTTGCTTGTTCACATCTACCCATCGAGTTCCAATGATTTTGGTTCCTTTTGGAACTTTGCTTCTTGGGATCTTTTCCCAAACTCCCATTGATTCGACAATGTCGATTTCATCTTTTCTGGCTTTCTCTACCTTCTCAGGTAGCAGCTCTTTTCCACTGATGTCATCATAGTACCACCAGTCTTTTGCCTCTTCTGCCATTTCTTCTGGCAGTGGGATCTTCTCTTCACACACTGGTTTCTCTGGGTCGATGCTAGATAGCACTCTCTCTCTCTGTCGTCTAGGATTAGGCTTTCTAGAGCCATCTCCATGCTTTGGATGTCTCTTGTTCTCTCGGCTTCATCTTCATGTTCGCCTTCTGCCTTTCTCTTCTTGTCTCTATCTACTCTGGCTTTTGCTGTGGGTGATCCTGCTGGTTCATGTTGTTCTTCGTGTTCTCTCTTTTCTCCATGTGGTTCAGGTTCGCGTGGTCTGCGAATACCTGATGCTGAAGCTGATGCTGTGCCTGGTGTTGGTGGTGCTGCTTCTGGTTCGTACCAAAGTTCTGTCACAATGTCCATCTTGTGTGGTAATGCTCCATTGAGTATCTCTGGTGGAAGGTCTGTTGTCATGACTCCACTCTCAATGATTGCGTTGTTTGCATGGTTTCTTGTGACTCGGTGCCAGACGGTAGACCAATCAGGTCCTCCTGGCATGGTGGTTTGAAAACAGTAAGCTTCGACGTCAAGTCGTGCGAACACTCGACACGAATCGGGAACTCCCGATGGTCTTTTGCTTTCATATCCATGAAGGATTTGAGGTCTCTTGCCACTGACTGGTTGTGGCATGCCAGTGATTGCCTCTCCAACTCGGCTTTCATGTCTTGCAACTCTTGGGTTCTCTTCTTCTTCTCCTCTGATGCTCTCTTCAAGTCTGTCTCGACACCTGTTGGTGTGATGGATGCCTGTAGATCTCTTGCCAATCTGTGTGGCATCACAGGCTGGGCAACCTGCTGTGTACCCAAACTTTTCCAGGTCTTTCTTGGTGATGTAAAGTCTTCTCAGCTTTCTTTTCTTGTCATCGATTGCCGGTGGTTGAACTAAAGCTTCACCACTTGGGCTGGCAATGATTGGTTCCCTTGGGGCTGCAATCGCTGGTTCTTCGCGAATTGCTTGAGGATCCCAGGGAAGTCCAGTGATCGATTTCAGCAACTCTGAATCATATCGATCTTCTTCTGGCTTTCTCCGAATGGATTGCACTGTGAAAACGCCTGTGGAATTTCCTACTATCTTCTCTGTGGTGGTGTCTTTCACTCCTAGAAAAATTCCTTTGGTCCATTGGGCCTCGAACTTGTGACCTCTCTTGAGATATTCGATGGCCTCACCAAATGGTGGAATTGCTACTTTCCATTCACGTCCACGAAGTCTTGAATACGGAGTCTTTCCGTCTTGAAGTTCGGTAGATCGGAAAAACAGATTGTAGACTGTGGATGCGTGTTCAACTAACCAAGTCAAAACAGGTGAATCGTCAGGAAGTTTCTCACCATAGTTCGACTCGATTGCGGCTCGAAGAGTCCTGGCTTGTCCTTCCAAGGTTTGAACTGCTCGTTCAATCTCTCCCTTGGATTCTTTGACTCCTTTCGGGCTCTTCTCGATGATTAGAGTTCCTTCAAACCCATTCTTTACTGCCTCAACAACGGATGTGAGAGCAGGTTCAGGATCATGTCGAATGATCAGTTTGGAGTATCCTAGTTTCTTGATGTCGTTCAAAAGTACTTTGGATCCATATGGACCTTTTGTCACACCTTTGTAGGGCAACACATGAGCAAAAAGATGCTTCGTCCATCGATCTCTGACAACAAGAATTGGTGCATGGGTCTTCTCGTCCAAAACTACATCATCAGTTCGTGAATTCATGAAACAGTAGTCTACAGTCACTACTGGGGTTGTCTCATCGGTGTGGGTCTATCTTCCTGTGGGGGTTTGCCTTAGCTTTTCCCCTTACACAGGCTTCACACCAAGACCTAAAAGGGAAGTGTGAAACAGCATGCTCTTCAAACTCTTTTCGCGTCGGGCGAATGGGAGCATGGATTTTGAGCTCAGGCGGCACTTCATCGCCTGGCTCGGCCTCTTCGGCCTGCTCGTCCACTACCGGACTTACCCATATTGCGGCGCCGGACGAAAGGGTGGAATGCAAGCGGCACAGAACAGACGCCGTTGCTGAACGAGATCGGAATCTTAGTCCCGTCTCGGGAGATCTGTCCACCAGATCCGTGCATCTGAATGCACCAGCCCTTGCTCATAAGGGCCCCCGCGGAGAGCAGCGGTTTTGCAACCGCCATCACCCGGAAACAGCAACGTCCATTGAGGGAGTTCTGGCCGATGCCGATGGTCACCATGGCATCGATCTTGCCAAGGTCCTTGACCACTTCGCCTGAGGCAGTCTTGTAGACTTTGCAGGTACCTTCAGGCTGGATAGGCTTGTAGCCCAATGCGGTGGCCAGTTCAACAGGGATGCAGGAGGTCGCGGCTCCTGAATCCAAGGTCACCTGATGAGCCATTGGCGTCTCCATGGATGCCAGCTCCAAACTCCTGAGAGCTAATAGATCCTCCTCGCCTTCATCAGGCTCGCTTGAAGGTGTGGGATATCGTTTTCCCTTTCCCTTCTTGGCCTCACGGGCAGCATCCTGAGTGGCCACGCTGACAGCTCGAGTCAACTGCACTTTCTTCTGCTTGCCCTTTCCTTGGCCCTTCTCGGAGGCAGCCGGAGCCGAAGCGGCTCGGCTTTTGCCCGGGGATCGTGACCGGGACTTCAGCCGAAGCGTCTGCCTTGGCGCTTCGCTGGATTCCTCTGGCTTGGATCCTGGTCCACGGAATCGCTCTAGGTGCTCTTCAGTCGAGCTCTTGAACCAGGCCATGCGCTCCTCCTTGGTCTTGCCCTTCTTCTCAGGAGGTGGAGGTGTCTTGGCAATGCGCCTTTGCTTTGGCGTCTTTGGGCCAACCTCATCTTCCTCCTCCTGTTCTTCCATCATCTGCTGCATATGGGCTGTCATGTAGAAAGGAGGTTCGTTCTTGACGGTCTCAAGCTTTGGATCTTTCATCTTCAAATGCTTTGCCACATCTTCGGGCTTCAGATCCATGTCGGCATCTTTCACATGCTTTGGCGCATCTTTTGAAGTTGGGCTGCCTTGCTGTCCCTTGGCAGTCTTGATGCGCTTTCCCATCTCTTTCTGCTTGATCGTCCATTCCTTTGCCCACTGGTTGAGGACTTTTGGCGGGCAACAATTCAAAGCCATATGATGGTTCCATAGGCCGGTGTCATTGTCACACCTCAGGGCCTTGTTGCACGCACGGCAGACCATGTTCTTGCTGCCATCTCTGTTCTTGTGGGTGCATTTGGCTACCCATTCATCATAGCTGAGGATGCGCTCTTGGAGCATGTGGTCGAGCCATGGCACAGTGTCTTTCTCTTTTTCTTCCTCTTGTCCATCTGACTCATCGTCAGCTGGCTCAGTGCCATTCTCATCCTCTTCAACTTCACCTTCAAACTCTTCTTCTTCTTCGAGTCCCTCGATCTCAGTCACATCAAGGGGATTGATGTTCTCCATGACTGGAGCTGCGAAGGATGGTGCGCTTGTTGCTCCTTCGCCTTGGCTTTCGACGCGCTTCATCACAACATAGTCCTCTGGGTTGAACCCAGCTGCAGTGAGCACCTTGTCGATGACACCGCGGGCTGGATGGCTAGTAGCCGTCCATGTCTGGCTTTCCCGCTTCATCTCTGCCAACTCTTGAGTGGAGAGATCCTCGATCTTGGGCTCCTTCTCTTTTGGCTTTTCAGGCTTCTTTGCCTTTCCTGGCTTCTTGTAGCCACGATGCCTCTGGGCCTTTTCTCGACCTCGAGGCTGAGGGGTTTCATCAAATTTTCCCTCATCATCTTCATCATCCCAAGCTTGAAGTCGACCAGTACCCTTGGCACGAGCGATCTCATAGTAGTCGAGCTCCTCAGGGTAATTGGCCTCATAGTCGCGCCAGGATTCGAAACGATCCTGGGCCTTCTCAACGCGATGTTGCTCAGCGCGCTGACGGCTCTTCTCTTTCTTCTTGGCCAATCTCGGGTCCATACCTGATGCCAAATCAGCTGAGAGCCTTGGCGACTCCGCCGGAACCGAAGCGGCTCGGCGAGGAGTTGGCCTCTTCAGCAAGATCTTGGCTTCTCTCTCCTTTTCTTCATACTGTTCTTTCAGCCTCTTCATCTCGGCCTGTTGTTCCAAGATGGCATCATTGGCTGCTTTGCCTTTGGCCTCGGCCTCTTCGATGGCCTTCTGGATTGTCTCAGACTTCTTCTCATACAGCTCGCGATTGGACTGCATGGTCTCTTGGATTGCTTGGTTCATGACTGCAATCCCAGCAGCTGCAATTCCAGGACGACCTTTTCCAGCTCCTGGCTTCTTTGGCATAGCCTTGACTTCAGTCTCAGCTTTTGCCTTGGCTGCTCCACGAGAAATTGCGGCAGGTGCTGCTTTCTCCATCTCGATGGCAAAGAGGGTGGCGATGTCAGCGGAATACTCAGGCTCGGGTTGATGCTCTTGAGCCATAGAGGTTTCAGATTCCAACTGAAGCTACCTTCTTACTTTTACTCTTGCCTTTGCCTTTAGAGTCTTTTCCTTTGCCACCTTTGCCTTTACCCTTGGAGTTTTGGTTGTACCAACTACTCTTGTTCCAATCATTCTTATACCAATCGTTCTTGTTCCATGAGTTGTTCCATAACGAGGGATTGGACCACGAAGAACCTTTTCCCTTCTGCTTACCTTTGTCGTTTCCCTTGCCTCCATCTTGACTCTTTCCTTTTCCTTTGCCGCCTTTTGAGCCACCTTTGCCTTTTCCTTTGGCTTTGGCCAGACTTGCAAGTGAAGCTTGCATCTGGCTGGCAGCTGCGGCTAGTGCATCAACATCCATTGGTGCTGATCCAGTCTTTGCTTCTTTTCGGCTCTCGATGTTCTCGAAGTGCCAAACTCTCTGACTTCATGATGGCATAGTCAGTGAGTCTCGAACTCTGGAGGTCAAGGTGATCTTGAAGTTTGGCGGGACACATCTGCTGAAGACAACTTCTTGCGATGTCATCATCAAGAGCTTTCTTCTTCCGCTCTTCATACTTTCGCCTGATGTTTTCCCAGGCTTCTATGCTCTCTCTGAGCTTGTCCAATGCACACTGTTGTGGGTGCAGGACCTTCTTCAGCAAAGCTGAGTTTGCTTGTGGATTCTGTGGATCATACTTGGTGATCAATCGTCTCAATGCCTCTAGGCCAAAGTGCTGACCTCTGGAGGTATTCTTGACAATCTCGAGGGCTTCTCCCTCACACAGTGAGATCAGAGCCTGTCGGGCCTGAGCTGAAACAAGCTCGGCTCCTTCAGGATAATCATCTTCCAGAGATGTCTCATTGATCTCTGTGTCTTGATGCTCTTCGAGGAGCTGAATGCACTTTCCTGCATTCTTGTGACTTGTCTCAATCCAAGTCTTGAACTTGAAGTACCATGAATCCCAGGTACCTGTGTGTCCACTGAACTTGTCAGGCTTTGGAATGCCTTTCAACTCGGATCTGTCTCTTACTTCTACGCTAGTGGCTATGTTCCTTGTGATTGCCGTTTGTTGTGTATACTGTATATGCTTCTGCCATTGCTCGTTGCAATTGGCTCTGCCCCTGTGCTAGGGCTTGCATCATCTGTGCAAATTGTTGTGCCATGTCTGTGGCTTGTGGTGCCTGTGCTCCTGGCTGTTGAGCCATGCTGACTTGCTAGCCAGGGATTGAAGCAATCCGGCTTTCCTGCAAGTGATGCTTGTTTCGTGGATCCCTGGTGCCAGAGCCGGTGCGGCTCGGCGACCTTCGATTCGCAGACGGTAGCCGGGTCTTAGAACCGCGGCTCCGCTACCATGAACGGAGAATTTAGGCTCTTAAACTCTGTGACCCCAAGTCACTGTCCCAAAGGTTGTAGTAGAAGCTTAGGCCCACTTTTAGCTCCACTCCAAGCGTAGCTCTGGTAGTGAAATGAACACAAAAGTAAACCACAAACGGCTGCAGTGAAACATACATCTATACAAGCTATGTCATGTACATGTAACTGGTGCTACATCTGATCATTTCCAGGTATATATATATATATTATATGATATATTGTACAAACGGGTTCCCTCTTGGGTAGATCCTGACATTCCTCCAAATCAGTGCAGGGCACCGGTCTCGCTCCATCCGCCAAACAACGGACCGGGACGAGTGCTCTGTCGACGCCTGGTGGTCGCGGCTGGGCCGCCCAAGTCTTCACCACCGCGCGAGCCTCGGCAGGACAGGTGAGGCGGTCGGCAGGGGTCAACGGGTGGCGTGTGAGTTAGCATCAAAAGCTTTATGCTCTGAAAGCTATAAGTCTTGATTCAACAAATAGACAAATGATGACAAATGGATATCCTGCGAATAAGCATGAATAAGTGAGAACAGGAAGAGATTTCCGATATCACCACTGGTTTGCTGGAGGTTGTTCTCTAGGGGGCAAGAGTTTCTTAAAGTGTAGGTTTGGGATGGTTTGGGTCTTTACCGCGTCGGAGTATCGGGGTATTGGTGGGTGCCTGGTAACCTTTATTACATGTCCCACGGTTGGTTGTATGCGCATATCAGCGGTAATCTTTTAAACAAGACGCAACAGTAAAATCATGTACAGTCTCAAAATGAATCATGCAGTTCAAAGCAAACTACATCCACTGCCAATCAATGCCGACACATGCCACTTAACGCCATGGAAGTGGTACTCCCTGCCACACCAAAACAACTAACCAAAACGCCGATCCATGCCATTTCATGCCACCCCTTGCCCAGCATGAAGTGACGTGAAGTGGTCGTCACATACGGTGGCAGCCACGCTTGGCTGCGTCCAACCTGAAACAATAACAAACCAGCTCTGTCCCAAACCAGCGAGCTTAGGCTGCACGTGCAGCCTTGAGTGACTCTGAAGAAACAAAACATCCCAAATGTCCGGAGCCATCATGTCGCCCTTGTCAAGCGGCTAAAACTCATGTCACCCAAGGCACATCTGCCCGGTGCTTGGCGGTCGCAGAGGTCGTGAGCACGAAGACCTGGGTGTTCGGTCGTCGGCGATCGCGGCGAGGGCGGGCAAAAAGCGACACCATGTGGTTGTCGTGGTGGTTGGAGGCAGGTCATGCACTCAAAGGTGTGGAGCTGAGGATCTTTATATGAGCAACGGTCAAATTCAATTATTTATGCTAAGGATGTTTTTGTCGTTATCGTTTTTTGGGGAGACCTTATCGGTGTTCAGCTTTTTGTTCAACCAGATGCTTTTGGCATTCGCATTTGCATGGTGGATGCATGAAGCGGAGCTACCTACTCGCTGAAATCAGAAGCAGTGGATGACGAGCTTGTTCACAGCTCGCTTGTCAGCAGCGGACAAAGGCATTGCAATCTCGAGTGGGTTTGTGAAATTTGGTGTACCTATCTCTGTCTTAGTCTTTATCGGCCTTCTGTTTGCTGGGATGTAAAATACTAACGTGTTTCAAGAAATGGCTGTAGATTAGAAAAAGAAATAAAAAAAACAGCAACAAACATTTTGATTCCAGAGTATATGGCTGAAGCCGCCCACTAGGGTACTGTCAGTGGGGCTCTCATTCGACATGCAACAGGTACTGCAAGGATCTGTCAGGAATGATAATAAATACCATCATACATAGGTTATCGGTTTTGGGGGGGACCTTATCGGTTTCCAATACATCCTCACCCTAAGCCATTCACATCGACCTCTCCTGACTAAAGTAGTCTACACTTATTTTGACCCCACCTCATATATTTCATCAAATCCTTTCGAGCTGAGGTCATTTGTGTTCATTTCTTTAATAGATTTGATTTTGAAGATCTCTCTGTTTGGGGGTTGGAAGAGATTGGAAGGTTGGAGGCAGTGAGATTGACCGTGTATATAAGTCAGCCACCTCGCAAAGAAGTGTCCAGAAGGTAAAATTGAGTTTTGCACATAGTGTTTGATGTTCAAAAGTGCTGGTGGATTCACATGAACCCAGTTTAGCCTCTCCCATGCTAAGCTGCACTAAGTTGGCAAAGTGAAATCCTGGTGCTGGGGTGGTCACTTGCTTGGGTCTTCGATGATTCACGTGCCACTCCTACCATTACGGCGAACACATCCGAAAACCGATGTAATCACACATGTAGACGGAGAGAACCATGAAACCCTTGTATCCCGGGCAAAAAGGCCCAACAATAAGTTGGAACATCCCTCATCCCAAGAGCAGTCAATCCTATCTACCTAATTTCATCAAATCCTCATGCAAATACCGTGTGATACTCTGTGTGATCCTTTGTGTATCCTTGCAACTACAAAAACGAGTATGTTCGAAACCGCTGTACTTCGCCACCCGTGTGGCACGCACACTGTTGTGCCAAGACGCGCACACTTTGTGCCCAGCGCGCCGCAAGACGTCCGCCGCCAGACCGGTCGTCAGAGCCGATGGAGAGGCCCATTCCTGGCGCAGTTCGTGCCGCGCGCCCACATCTAGCTGGGACTCGCTGGGGAGTGGGGGGTGGGAGTTTGTCTTCCTCAAAACCAGTGGGGAATCCACGCCAGTTCAGTTCCGAAAAAGCTGGCAGTGGTTTTTGTACACCCTTTTTGGGCCCAACCTTCTCCCTGCATGGTATATCTCCTGAGAAAAACGAGCGGCAAAACCTCCAACCAAACTATGTTCCTTCGGTATTGGATATTCATTTTGGTGGGTCCCTTAATGGTTTTAAGGGTTTGGCTACCCTTCACCTCCCTTCACAGCTTTTCAAGCGTGGGCTTATAAGTTCTATCAAAACGTGAAGCTGAGCAGTTGCTTTTGCCAAGGGTGCCTTTTCTAGAATGAAGCTGCATTGACGGACACGTTTGCCAGTACCAATCCATTGGCCCCTCTGCCGAGGCTTCAGAAGCGGAGCCAGGGCGGAGTCTGCCAGCGGCGCAAGCATCTTGTCTGTGGCCAGTCAGTACGGTAGCTTCTTCGCATGCAGTGCACCAATTGCGTAAACAGCTTGCTTGTGACCACCTAGTCCTATAGCTTCGTTGCATGCACGCAGCAGTGCGGAAATGAGACAATCGACGAACAGGAACAAGGTGCAAATAAGTCAGTAGATAATTAAGTGGAACATATGTATGTTTCAATTTAGCGCTTTTGTATTTACTACTTCTACAGGGTTTGGAGCAAACCACATCATGGGAGTAGTTTAAACTCTTACATGAACAGTTTTGCCTGTTGCTCGGGTGCCGATGATGTAGTTGGATCAATTGAAACGTATGATGTATGGCATACAATGTACTCTAAACGCGTGCTGCAACCTTTCAAGACTCCGACAAGTTTGAGCCCCAACACGGAGGTTCCACTGACCCCCCAGATTGAGACCATTGAAACATTGCTCCACATACAAATGAAGCACCAGCCACAAAGATTGGGAAGTCACCCCGGACACCACCTCAACTGATCTGTGTTCAACACACTGCCTTGGCCAAATCCTCGGGCGAGGTCAGCTCCAACTGCCCACCGCCTCAGGAACTTCCAGGTCTGGCTTGGCCGGGCAAGGGGACGGTGTTCAATGTTAGAGTCCGAGAAGAAAGGTCCGAAGGCTTTGCGTGTTATGTGATACATGTGCTCCAAAGGTGGCAGCACTTCTTTCATCAGCAAATGTGAGATTCCAAACACAGGCAAGAAGGAACACAAAGTGAAAGGCCAGTTCTACAGGCGGGGCAGCGTGCTCTGACTGTTCGAAGCCAGAGCTGAGCCCACATGTAAAGCGATGGCCCCGAACCTTGGGTCGATCTGTTCGGAGGCAACGTGTGACGGAGGAAGACACAAACAATTGCTTCAGAGGGGACCCGTGGGACTGCCATATATATGCCGATCAGTTGGGGTGGTTATGGGGGTCAATGTAGGCATATATGGCATGTTGGTAACGTGGGGAGCAAAACCACGGACCAGTGCTAGGTTCACGAAGCCCTAGTCGAAGTCGTAGAACGGAAGGCCGCAAACCAACGGCCGTTTTCAAGCCATCGCTCGAGTGCGTACGCGGCCCGCCCTGTGTTTTGAGGCGGCGCGCGAGTTCAAGGTTTCACGTTCAAATTCTACGTTGTGTAGCACACAACTCACACGGGTGCAAAAAGGGCTGTTTGTTCAGCCAAAAACAAAAGTCATGCTCGTGGCATCTGGCATCTCGTCTACCAGTTGACATTCGAGCTCACTGCCGTGCCGGTCAGGTCACCGTGGACATTCTGTGCCCAGTGCACACCTTCCATCTCGGATTGTGGCGTGCATTCCTCAAAGAACTTGTGGGCACATGCCTTGCATGGTTGCCTGGTGTATACCAGGTTGGCAGTGCGTTGTCCAACGCAGGCTCTGCTTGCATGCCAACAGCCTCCCATGCTTGCCAGGTACACTGGTTTCAGCGATGCCTGTTGCTTTGCCACCTTCAGCTTCTGGTCGAGCATCCTCTGCTGCTCATCCTTCAGCTTTTGTAGTTCTCGATGCAAGATCTCTTCGTGCCTCCGGGCATTTTGGTACTGGTGCTGTGCCAGTGCCCATTCATTCTTGAGATTTGCTACTTCCTCTGTCAATGCCATTTTGTCTTTCCTGAGTTGAATCAGTCTCTCTTCCTCCAACCCTGTTCTGGTTGTCTGGGAGCGTTGTCTTCGTTTCGGCCGGGGGTTCATTTCGTGTAGTTGTTGGCGTCCAGGTCATAGTCCAACCATTGCTGCATTTGATGCAGAACCAAATGAACATGCCGATCATCAAGGTGAACAGGATCATCAGGACATATTCCATCTTGTCATACTCGTCATGGTCATAGTTTTCCACCTTCGTCCCATAGGTCTCATTTATCTCCCATCCTGCCTTTGCGGAACACATGAAGTGTGTTGCGAACATAGCGAAAAGTGCTCGCTCTGGCTTCTTGATGGCATACATGTTCTCTCCTTTCTTGCGGCTTGCCATGTTCTTCTTCTTCGATGCCTGGAAATTGTCATCACTTGTGAGCTTGGTCATGTGTGTTCTCAGGCGTTGACCAAGTAGTGGAGCTGCTGCATCTTTGGTGAGGCCATCTGCATATTGGAGCTCCGATGATACCCATCGTACTTTACCATTGCAACATGCCAGCTTGTCTCTGCAAACCAAGGCTTCAATGGTGGTCCTCTTGTCAGCTCCTGTTGCAGCTTGGATTTCATCCTTCACAAGGATGTCGTATAGGGCCTTGGCGTCCACGACAAGTTTTGGGCTGTTTGCCAAGTAGCCGGTGCTGACGTTGTCCAGGGGCATCAATGCTCTGAAGATGAGGTTCCAGAAGAGTGTCGTGTACATGAGGCTGTCAGCTGCTTCACTTGCTGCCTGGCTTTCTGCTGACAAAGTGCTTCTCGACACTCGGGGCAACTTCCAGCTTCTCCAATCCAGAACGTTATAGTGCCCTTCACACTTGCCTTCTGCAACATCCCGATGACACATTGCCAGTATGTATCCTCCTTGACTGCTCAGATCACATCTTGTCGCAAAGGAGGCATCACTGTAGGCAATGAAGGTCATCTCATCTTTTGAGCCCAGTTTTCTGTACTGTAGACCAACGTCGGCATACTCTTTGGCATAGCGTAAGTGCTTGTTGCCCTTCTGCAATGTCTCGATCGTGGCTCGTGATGTTTCTCCAGCTAGCTGAGAAATTCCAACTTGCAGATGGGGTGCACTTTGTGTCGCTGGCCATTGTAGGCCTCCGATTAGGCCTCGTAGCAGGGATCTTTCCTTCTCCGTGACCGCCAGGGAGGTGTCTCTCAGCCTTTCCTTCGTGATAGGAATTGGCTTCACCTTGTGAATGTACTCCTCCTGCTTCAGCTCGATCACTTCCTCCTTCTCACAATCAATCTGGCTCCCGCAGTACTCAAGCTTGTTGCCGTCTTGCCACTCCCTGAAGGTGAAGATCTCCTGCAATTTCTTCTTCACATCTATGAAGTACTGATCTTGTGGATCGCTACAACCCACCAGGTCGTCCACATGAATACCAAAGATGCAGGCAAGATCTCTTTCCACCATGGGGTCCATTGCTTGTTCGGCTGGCAAGGGACGGTACACCAGAAATAGGCATGGATCCAGCGGATGCCGTTGGATATCACCACTTCCGGCCCTCAGAATCCTCTCACTTGCCTCCTCATACCATGCCCTCGGGGCATCACATAGTCCATACATTGGCTTCACCAGTTTCATCAGCGTTGAGTCATCTGGTTGTAGTCCCAAAAGTGCTTTTGCATCCTTGGGCAATTTGATCCAGATCACTCTGTTCGTGCTTTGATCGAAGTTCTTGCCCTGCAAGAATGCTGTGGTGATGTCACTGGTGAACATCTTCCAAGTGTAGAGCTGGCAAATGGACAAGATTGCGATCTTGCCTCTTGAGAGCCTGGTCAATGTTGGTGCATTTGTGTTGAGATTGCCGGAGAGTGCATCAGGATCCTTGAATCCCTGAGTGATCAACCTCGCTTTTGCACGAGGCGTCCCGTCCTCGTTCTTCTTCCAGGTCAGGATGAAGTGTGCCTTGAGGATCCTTGCTGGGTCGGCATTCCCTTCTTTGTCATAGAGCCAGACCTCGTTCTTAAAGAAGCTCTCAAGTTCCTTGATCTTGGCCTGCATGAAGGCCTGTCGATCGGACACCGACATGTGTCTCTCATACACTTCATCTTTTCCTTTCTTCTTCTTTGTCATCGGTTGATCTCCTGGAAGTCGATAGGACTTGTACCCCATGCTCTTCTGGCTGTAGTCCTCCTGTGCCTTCTGTCTCCAGTTTGGTTTGATCTTGAACTTCGTCTGGCCAGTCCAGTAGGCGGACTCGATCATCTGATTAGCACTGTGACGTTTCCAACGGTCCTTGTAGGTGCCGTGGGATGTGGCAGTCACACGCTCCTTGGCCAGGTAGTTCAGGTCCTCCTCTGTAGGTCTGAAAGCTCCCTTGCGAGGTACATAATGATTGCGGATCAGCCAGTTTCCTTCAATCGTCCACTCATGCTCATCTGTTGGGGCATCCAAGCAAAGCCATCCTCCTTCTACCTTCCATCCAGGTGGTAGATCAGTGACTGACTGGACATCGATGTCGATCTGCATATTCATCTCCTCGGGAGTCAACTGATCATAAGGTGTACTTCTCGATGTCTCCGACCGAATGGGTCCGTAGGCTTTTGGCTTGCTTAGGAATGAAAGAGTCTCTTGCTGATCAACCCTCGTCCTCTGAGCCTTGAAGCTCTCCCGATCTGGTCCATCGTACAGTCTCTTCTGATGTTCGGGTACTTCAGGAACTTCAGGCTGCTGTAGGGCCTCAGGGTTGTCCTCTCTCACTTCCTCTCCTGTTGCCTCAGGTGATTCGTGGCTCGAATCGGCAGGGACTCCTCCTCCTGCTGGTGCGAAGGAACTCTGTCCTCCATTTTCGGGTTCAATAGTCTCTTCACCATCCTGAGGTGGCTCGTTCTCCTTGTTGTCTTCCTGGTTCTCCGGATCTGGTTCACCAGGGTCTTGCAGGATGTCTTGGACGATCTCCTCGATGTCTGAATCCTGAGTCTCCGCAATGGTGAAGGTTGTCGTCCCGGTCCAGGTGTAGTGAAGAGATCTCCCTGCGTCTAGTCTTCTCCACTCATCTCGAAGATTCACCCTTGCTGGATGTGGGGGCTTTCTTCTCACTGTTGTCACCCTTTCATCAGTGAATTGAGCCGTTGGGATGTCATCGTCCTGCTCAGGGACAAAGAGTTCCCTTCTTGGACGGTTGTGCACTCGAGTCCAGACTCTTCGATCATCACTAACCTGCCAGGTGTGCTCCAGGCCCTCGTCCTCTGATGCATCTTGGGCGCCATCTTGATCATATTCCTCTTCTTCATCTCCACTTGATACTTCATGCCTCTGTCGCTTGTTGGACTTGGTCAAGTCAGTATATTGGGTTGTACCTCGGCTTCTGAGGCTCTGAAGGGCTTGTTGTGCTCTGAAGAACGGATCATCTTCCTTGGGCTTTGGCGCTTCTGATGCTGGGACAGGTCGAAGATGTTCCGGTGCCGCTCTCAACAAGTTGGTACCGTGGACAATCCAGTAGATAGTGCTATAGGGTCCTGCCTCCAGTTGTTCAACCATCACCACTCGTGCTGGTCCTCTCCATCGAAGTTTGGGTCCAATGCCACCAGGTCCATCCCTGTAGTAGTAGCAAAGGTCGCCCAATTGATAGGTGGCCAGCTGTCCCATGTACTTCCTGTTGAGTGCCCGTCTCAATCTTGTGTCTACATCCGCAGAGAATACTGCATTTGCTGCTGCCTTCTGACTCTTCAACTTGTTGAGGAACTCGTCAGATGGTTCCAAAGTCGGTGGAGACAGAGGCTCCTCTGTGAGCAGTCCTGGGACATGGGGAGTGTATCCCAACACCCACTGCACTGGGCTGTATCCTCGGACATTTGTCCTCCGGTTGATCTGGGGAACCACGTAGCATAGAGCTTGTATGAGTCGTTCTCGTGGTTCATGAGGAAGCTTCACGTCCCCTTCTTCTTGATCTGCGAGGTACAGTTCCAGGGCACGCCTTGTGACTTGGTGTCATCTCTCCAGGATTGCAAGGCGGGTGTGGCTTTGTCCTGGCGATATCTGCAGTTCCACTCCCTGTTCTGAACACCAGGATCGAACGTAGTCCGAGCTCCAGCTTCGGTGGTCATCAACCTGCAACGTCTTCATCGGGCCAAAATTCCGGATCCATGCTCTTTCCAGGGCCAGAATGAACTCATCTGGTGACTCACGGAGGAGCACCCTTCCTCCAAGGAACCTTGTGGCAGCATCACTGATCATAAGCACTGGTAGGGCACGTCGGATGTTGGGAATCCGGATCCACAATGTGTCTGCCTGGACTCGACTGTTGAACTCCTGAGCATTGGGAACAGAGGAGACTGGTACTTGTGGTCGTCGTTGGTGTTGAGCGCAAACAGTACATTCATGTTCCCGTGCACATTGGACAAGCACCTCAGATGCTCGCTTCATCTCCAACAGCCTGGTCAATTCGGCATTTGTGGGATGTCCAGGATTCCGATGAAGCCGACTCACTGTCCTCTTTGCTTGCTGACGATCGTGAGCATGCAATCGTTGTAGAACTCCTGTGGAAGGTGCAGTGTCTTCTCGAGGACCCTCGACTGAGGGATCATCTCCTCGAGCTTCTCGTACTGGAGCGTGCAGTGGCTGTGCATCATTGGGCTCAAGATCATCCATGGCTTCGCGGTCTGCTATTGTTGGCGTGTACTCCTCATCATCCATCTCCTCAGCAGCAGCCACGAAGTCACCAGGCTCATAGTAGAGCATATCAATTGCCTCTCCAATGAAGTAGCAGAAGGTTGGTTGGTAGGCTCCTGCAGCCTTTGTCAGAGATCCCACTCCCGGAAGTGATCCTTCGAGTGGTAGGTGCTCGTGGTCACCTGGACATCGCCATGCCAAGAAGTCAACCATTGAGGCACTGGTCAGTTGCAGCCTCGTGGGCTTCTTCACATAGAGGTCTGCGATCTTCGTGTCGTAGGCACACTGATCCAGCAAGCATGGCCATCCTGCCAACTTCTTCCAGGTCTTGGTGTCCCAGGCTTTGGATCCAGCAGGATGCTCAATCCCGGCGTCCCTTCCTTCGTTGTACTGGATGGTGAAGGACCGTTCTGCTACCTTTAGATGAACTGCTTCTTCATAATCTCGGTCGCATTGAAGGGCAAACTCCTGCTCGGGTGTCAGTGTGTTCAGCGCCTGCATGCGAGACCACTTTTTGCACGCAGGGGCAATCCAGATGAAGTCTGGGGAGATGTCTTCAAGCAACTTGTAGTATGCATTTCGATGGTCTGGAATGTCCAAGTCCCAGCCTGTGTTGAGGTCAAAGCTGAAGACTATGTAGCCTCGTCTCTGCATCTCCAAAGACAAACCAGCTTCACCTGAGTAGACTTCCCAGAAAACTTTCATGCCTTCTTCATGGGCGCGCAGTCCTTGCTCCAGAACTGTGCGTCGATGTGCAAACATCGTGGCATGATGGAACCGGATGCCTCGAAGCAGCTTATCCGTAATCTCCTTTCTCACAAGCGCCACTTCATCGTCATCTTGGGCTTGAGGTGGCTGACAACCACTTGACTCTTCATCCGTCACGTTCTCATCATCTGCCTGTAGACAGTGCTCTGGTGGTTCTCTGCCTGTGGCTTCCAAATACTGGATGAGGGTGTAGGTGGACGTATGCATTATGCCCTCTCTCTGGACCATCTCAAAGGTCTCCGTGGTGACCAGGTCGAAGTCCAACATCTTTCCTTCAGGGTCCTGGCTGATCCAGCCTGAGCAGATACTCACCTCGCTCCCCCTTCACCGCAGGCTTCCAATCCTCTTCATCGTAACTGATCATGTCCTTGTTCCAGTCGACACGGACCTTGAGGGCCTTCAAGATAGGCCTGCCGATCAGAAGCGGGGTTGAGCCATCCACCAAGAAGCATTCAACCAAGCCGGACTTGCCGTTGACATACACAGGGAGCTTCACTGTCCACTCGGCTTTCCTCATGGCATCACCTCCGAAGCCAAACATCTTTGTAGTTGGATGGAATGTGTACCTCTCCAGGGGGACACCACATCCGTGCATGTACTCGATGATCTGCATCAAAGTCTGGTGTCCGCACACCATGCTGCTGGCTCCACCGTCCTGCAGACCATACCATCCATGTTCCGAAAGAGCGGGTAGTCCATGATCCTGCAAGTCATACATCATGTATGCTTGCCCAGTGCCTTTGTTGGCTGTGTCCATCTTGGCTCTCTTCGGGGATTGGGAGGTCTTGTTCATGGGACATTCAGCGGCAGCATGTCCATACCTGCCGCACTTGAAGCACTGCATGGTGTCCAAAGCTGTCCTTCCCCTGTTCAGAGCGGACCCCTTCTGAGGTGGGGACTTGTTCTTCCCCTTGCCCTTCTTGCCTTTTCCTCCCTTGGGAATTGGCCTCTGTGAAGTCGCCGTAGCTGAACTGGATGAGGAAGGCATCTCAGGAGTCGTCAATGCCACCACTGGATAAAATCCTCTCGAAGCTTTGATGTTTGCAAATTGCCTTCTTGCATCAAGGTACGTGGCATAGGCTTCCTCCAGTTGAGGATCAGGTTCATCGGCACATCCATCATCCTGGTAGTAGAGCTCGTCGTCAATAGCCTCATACTCCTCGGTCTCGTCGTAGTTGGGCTCTTCCTCATAGGGCTCCTCCTCGAGAAGGGCAAATCCATCCTCTGGTTCCTCCTCGTACTCCGGGTCGTAGTCCTCCGCTGCATAGCCTTGTTGGCTCTTCCTTGGATACCATCGCTGACCTTTCCCCTTCGGGTTCTTCTGCCATTTGGTGCTCTGGTCAACTCGAGATCTATAGTCCTGGCCGAACAGGTAGTACATGGCCTCTTCGATCTTTGCCGTCTTCATCTCGGCGCCGACCTGGGATTGCACGAGCTGACGCTGTTCCAAGGTCAGTTGGCTCCTCCTCAACAACATCCAGCCGGACACACTGTCCGGTATTTGGATACCGAATTTCTCGATTTCTCGCAACTGCTCTCTGTGGTCTGAGCAGTATGAAAGAAGGGTTTGGTCTCCCCTTCTCGTGAGTTGATAGAAGAACTTCTCCAAGGCTCTCGGCATTTCGACACGACTGTCGTATTTGAACGCAGCATCCAACGTAGCAAGCACTCTGTCGAAGCCGTCGGAGGACTCCACAACACTTTCAACCAAGTGTTCAACTTGTTTCCAAGCCACTCCATGGAGACTTGTCAACAAGTTCAGAATGGCTTCTTTCTCTTTGCCCTGCAAAGCCAGCTTGCGCTTGTAAAGCATGATGCGCTGTCGCCATTCCCGGTAGTCGTTGACACGGTTGTTGAAGATCGGGATGTAGGTGTCTCGCATCGCTTCAATGGTCCCACCAGCCATCGAAGATGTAGTCGATGGACCGGAGGCTGAAGGTCCATCCCCTGGAGCGGGCATTGAGCGTGCCACGCTCCGCTACCAATGTTGGTAACGTGGGGAGCAAAACCACGGACCAGTGCTAGGTTCACGAAGCCCTAGTCGAAGTCGTAGAACGGAAGGCCGCAAACCAACGGCCGTTTTCAAGCCATCGCTCGAGTGCGTACGCGGCCCGCCCTGTGTTTTGAGGCGGCGCGCGAGTTCAAGGTTTCATGTTCAAATTCTACGTTGTGTAGCACACAACTCACATGGCATAATTACATGGAGTGTCTGGGAATTGCTTCACTGGAAGATACTGTAGGTTATACTTTTTGACGACAATGTGTGTGTGTGTGTGTTGACCTTAAAACTGTATAACGACACGCTGGAGGTGAGAGCCCGGCCATATTTTCCGTCTCGCCATCTTGTGTACGCGCGGGAGAGGAAGCAGGCCTGTCGTTTTCGTTTGCGGCTTCGTGATTATTCCTCGTTCATCCTCTTTCCTATACATGCTTCGCAGCGTTGAGACTAGCGGATGAAGATTGGATATGGCGACATGGTCTGTCTTTTCTTGAATGGCCCCATCAGCTGTTCATACAAAGGATCACAAAAAAACGACGAAATCTTCACCTGAGCATGTCGAGATTGGCACCTCTAGCGGTCCTCCAGCCCGCAAAACATAACAAGAATAGGACATCACAGCATCCAGAAAATGGTTGCACCCAACAGAATGTCGTCATCACAAATGTGACCTTGCAACAGCAATAGGCTTGACACGACTATGTGACTATATTATGCCTTCCCAAGTGCCCACAATCCAATCATGATCAACATCTCCCACTGTTTGATCAGGATTCTTAACATCACCTTCTTCTCCCCATCGGCCAGATAAAAAGATTCGACTGAAACACAGACCTTTCACAGATCCACGTAGTGATCCACAAGACCTCTTTCTCCGCAGGCTTTTGCATCCTTCCTCTCCAGCTCGGTCACCCACGCCCGGCGCCCCACGCCCCACGCGCCCGTCCACGGCGCCCGGAGAGGTCGTCCGCCCGTAGGTCGTCCGGTGCCTGCAGGGCCTGGCGGACCTCCGGTTCCAGGCTCGGCCGCGTGGCGTCCAGCGGATGCCGCGCATCGGGCCACGTGAGGCCGCGGAGCGTACAGGCCTCGGGAAGAAGCCGCGGATGCCCAAGGGGGCAGTGGATGACATGATGGCGGTTTAGGTGTCTTTTTTGGGGGGGCGTCCGTGGTTGTGAGTTACCTATATATATATATATACGGTCGGGCAATGATGAAGAGTAGTTGAATAGGTTGTAGCACTGTATAGATATGATCATCTGTGGTATAGGTATAAGCGGGATACCTGGTGGTTAGGGAAACGGGTTCATCTTTTGGAGAATCTGTGACTCTGGATGTCGGTGAGAACCACATAGCAACAGAAGATGCTTTGGATCAAACGGTTCCAATAGATGATGAACCAATTTTTTGCTGAAGTAAGGTGAAACCACTTCGATTTGGCATGTGATCCATTGGTTGTAAAAGAGCACTATATAATATATCTATATAGTTCCTGCTATCACAATTTATGTTATTAATGTCCGACCACTTGTTGATAGGTACCACAGCACAAAGAATGGATTTGGTATATATATATATAAGTATATAAATATATGGGTGTGAATGTTCATAGGGAGATCACCAATGTCCCTTCTTCCTGAAGGTCTTTGGGGGTCTACCTCTGGCCTCCTCAAGTACAGCAAGCCTCAGAAGGTTCAAAAGGTATAATCGGTACAATGATTGAAGCTAGATTGTATAAACCTTCCATTCTTGCGCTCACCTACCTACCCACGATCAGCAGCTCATGCAAAGTAGATGCTCCACCGGCTACAAATGCTCTCCGATCGGCTGGCTCTTGTTGGCTCTCAGACCTATTCATGACGTTTTGGCTAGTGTTCTTCTGCTTCTTGCCTTTGGACCTCATAAATCTTCGTGGATTTTGGCGACCCATTTCATACGTAGCGTATTATATTTGTGAGTGTTCCTCTTTCTGTGCAAAAAGAAATTGACCATGGATCGGCTCAAAATCTTCACCCACTGACCATCCAAATCTCCAGATCTGCGGCTCCTCTTTCTCGCCAAGAGCAATGTTGACCCTGCCACGTCCGAGCCACAATGCCAGGATGCCAACGTTGGCTCTTCCCCACATGGCGATGAAGGTCCACCAAGTCCTGCGCAGAATCCAGCATCGCATGGCATCGCTCCACTCCACCGGGTTGAGAAAAGGAGGTGTGGTGTGTGGTGATGCAGCCGGGTTAAAAAATGGATCGATGGATCCAGGTTCGACACTCACGTGGGAACCACACAATCACTTGCGGACCGACCGCAACGTGGGCAAGCCTACAGCAGGTGTGAAATGTTACAAAGTGTTTCGGAAGGAGGAAAGTCAGAGAGTCTCAAAATCAATATATACATCAACCTGGCCCTGGCTGGCTTGGGGCCTTTGGATTCTTTGGATTCACGCACAGGTCCGCTACAGTAGGGTTGAGCGCCTCGCAAAATGAATTCCCTAGTTGCATGCAGTCTGTCATGCCTGATTAATCACGTTCCTATGTCAACACTGGTGAATAGAGGCGCTGTCCAGTGCTGATAGGAGTGGATCTCAGGCTAAAAGCTGGTTGTAGACAAAAGCCATATACTGTATTATGGTTTGCCCAACCCAGCATGAGAAGTCAAGACTCTTTGACTCTTTGATATTGGTGTTTCAAAGAGATGGTCAGAAACCAAATCCGCGAACAGCTAACAAGGCCCGTGCTACACTGCACAACAGCACACCCATCACTGCTTGCTGAACATGGCATTGTCGGCATGAAACGCCAACCTGCGCTGCTGCATGAAACGCCAATTCACAACCTAGGCCAACCCGCAACCTAGCCACTCACAATGCCGGGTATTCCTGCTGGGTACGGACAGGCAATCCCTGACACCCCACACCAGAGCAGGTCAAGCCAGTCAGCACGGTTGCCGGCGGCTATAGCTTAGCTCACTGGCGAAGCGAACTCCTCTTGAGTTCTGGGGCTTTCAAGCTTCAGTATTCGGGTCCTGCTTACCTTGAGCCCTATTCGCCTTCGTTATTGCTTGCAAAGGCGGTTCTCCAGTCAAATCAAAATTTTGCAACTGCTCCACGACCTCAGTTTTCATTAATGAATGCTGGAAACTCTTGTCGTAAGTGCTCAAGTCAGCACCAGCAATCTGAAGTCCATGTGAAGAGTTGAAACACAACCAGCAGCATGTTGGAACGCATCTGTGCCCACAAGAACTGGACTGATTGTCGATGTGCAGTATTGATTGACAGGTCCAGAAGTTCTACTGAGCCCTTCATTCCCAGCGAAGGATGCTGAAGGGCCAGACGCTGCGCATCTGCACGTCTGCTTGCTGACTGCACGCTGAGCACTCTCAACATCGATGTCCAAAGCTCCATGCTTGGTCAAGCATATATGCAAAGATCGCCTCTGAAGAGAGCCACGCGTGGGGACAATGTACTCCAAAAATGCTGTGCAGCATGGTTGGCAACAAAGTACTGTACACATGGTCGTCACTCTTTCGCGGATTGAATGAGTGCGGATCAAGCATAAAGACTGGAATTTTGTCAGCAGGGTATCCCCTCAAGATCTGATCACGCAACGTGTGATTGTTCAACAGTATGAGTAGCAGACAATGCTCGAGTAGCGTGGGGGTGTCCCCGAGTCGGTGGTGTGGCAAAATCCGTGATCCCCAGCAGCAAGCAAATAACCACAATCACACTCACCTGGGTTCAAGACTTTAAGATCTCACATTCAGTCTCACATTGACTCTTCAGGTCTGGGTTCAAGATGGTTCAAGGGTCTTAAGATGTCTTAAGACACATTCAATCACACTCACCAGATTTGAAGCAGAATCCCTTGAAGATCGTGGACAAATGAAGCTCGTGAAGTGCCACAAGACCACAGAGGGTGGCATGATGTCACTGTTAAACGTCCTCCTTTTTAGGCCTCCTGGGCATCTATTCAGATCTGGTTTGCCAGTAGAACTGGCGGCTCTGTGAAACAAACATGTTTGGAGAGATTGTGACGCGCAACCAGAACCTTGGCAAAAATGATTGAGGGGCCTGCCCTCCGTGCCGCCGTCTAGAGTGCCTGAATTCATCCTTGCCGCCTTGTGCCATCAACTGCCACCGGATACTGATCACTGCCACCGGATGCCCGGCTTGCCCCCCTCGGAAAACATCGGTCCCTCCTCTGGTGTCAAGCCCGAAAGAACCAAAAGGCATTGCCTTGGCGCCCGAGAAAGCGAGCTACTTTGAACTTCTCGAGGTTCAATCAGAAAACGCCATGTACAAGGCTCCTGCTTGGGTGACCGCTGCCGGAACGAAGGGAACTCCGGGAACTGGGTTAGGGCCATTTGTGCCACGAAGACTCATGCATTCTCCCTGATTGAACAGTAGTTGTCCTCAAAGTCTTGTTGGAAGGTCCTACCAGTATGAATGGATCTCCAGTTGAACCGTCCTTACCTGGCACACCGGGGTCTGACTGCATATTAGACGCACGCACGCAGGCCCGCCCGCCCGGCCGCCTGCCCGCACAGGCACACGCACACGCACAGGCACACGCCCACGCGCACACATACACGCAATCAATTGCTTTAGTTCATGCTTTTGTCAGGATGATTGGGTGGTCAGGTGGTCTGTCATCGCAACACACTCGTGTACCTATTCATCAAGAAGTGTCTCTTCATAGCCTGCCAAACTCACCAACATTTCAACCCCACGAGGGGTTCTCTCTATATATATATAATTTATATGTTTGTTTCCTGGTCTTGTGTGTCTGTTTTCTATAGTACATGATGGAACACAAAAACTGAGAGTAGATTACACCACCAAAACTGATCAAAACGATGTGTCCATCTCATGTCGTATCTCCCCGCCCCGGCGGAGGCGATACGAACCCCCTTGGTCCGCTCAGCCGAAGAGCACGAGAGCCACCTGCGTTCGACTCTTCAGCCCAGGCGCAACACGCTGAGCTTGCTGTAGAGATACTCAGTCTCAACAGCTAACCTGCAGGTGAGAGCTGTTTAACTAACCTGGTAACCTGCACTTAACGCACTTAGCGCAGAGCTGGTTTTTAAGCTACCGAAGGTCAAACCTTCTGCTCGGCAGGTGAGGCCTTGGTCGGCCTGACGGCGAACAGCCGTGAGTCCGTTCGACCTTCAAGGCGACGCCAAGAAGTGACCGTAGATTCTGCTGAAATGGTTTGCAGAATGCCACGGCTAGTAGGACCATGATTCTTGAGGCAAGCATTGCTAAGTATGTTGCCCTTTGGTCCGAACGTAGCGTTCTTGTTACTAGTAGTAAGGCCAGGAGTGCCCCTAGTTGCGTCCTTGCTCCTAGTTGCGATGCCCTTTGTTCCGAGTAGCGTTCCTGCGCCCAATGTCTCCTTTTCAAATCAATGCACGATTTGAGAAGGGTCCAAGCATGTGCCGCACAGTTTGTGTGAAAGCAGAACATTAAGCGGAAGGTCCATCCGCCAGCATTTTGCAGTCAACCGAAATATGGTAGGAAAAAAGCACAATCACAACAGTTGCATGACAACCACAGCACCATTGTCTGCGCTAAGTTTGGAAAGGTTCACGAGTCTACAACTTCAATTGAGGTGTTTAGTGTGAAGTGTGAGTGGCAGCTACAGCAGAGTTATCATTCAACATCATCAAGCTGTATATCCTGTTCAAGTTCCGCTATATACTATAATGATTGTCTTCTATATTGAGTGCTTGCAGGACCTGGTGTTCTTCTTGTATTTTTGACTACAGTGACTTCAGGCTACATGCTAGAAACCCCAAGCAACATCAAACAACCAAACTACAGCTGTTGGGAGAACTGTGCATTCTACAGTCTACGCTGAAACCAACGAATACAAATTCTTTCCACAGGACCTTTCAAGTCTCAAAATGCTTCCGAACTGACCGTGGTCATATGCTATTGCTATTGCCCACTATTGGTGCCATATCTGCTCGAAGATTGAGCATTGGGAAGCCAATGGCATTGAGGATTGATGTGTCATTGGGGTGCCCAAGGGCAACAGGGGCAACTAACAAGCATCGGCAAGTATATGAATTGCATAACTCGCCTCCCACACGACCGGGCGTGGGCCGCCCCGCCTCTTCCAAGCCTTGCTGTATGACCCTGCTAGCTCCAGGTCCTGACGAGTTTGGGCGAAACGAGATGAGTTCGGGGGGTCCCGAGCTACTCGATGACGTCCCACGCATGACCCGATGGCAAAAAGGATGGCATCTCGCGTTTTTTCCATCAGCCAAGATCAAAGAAGTATACTGAGCCTTGCGTTCAGTGGGTCTGTGTGCTTTACAATTTAGTGACATGCAATAGAGCCAATGGGGAGCAGCCTCGTCTGCCCGATTGATTCAGCAAAGCCAACACAGTGGTGGACTGATCCAGCAAGTGCTGGACTGGATACCCACAGCTGCAAAGCCCCATGGCCGAAGCTTGTAGTGGAGGTGTCTGCCGTGAAAAAGGTATCTGCCGCGCCCGCCCACACTTTGGCACGGTGCGACGGTACACACAAACAGTTTGGCACCAGCATGCAGTAGTATAAGCTCGAGAACGAACCTGCAAAAACTCACATCAAGGGTTCCATTAAAATGGACCTGGTTCTGAAGTTGAGGTTCATCGACAACAGTGTCGTCCAAGGCTCCATGTTCGTGTGGAACTGCAACGTGCACACATGCACACAGCATGACATCTTCACTTCTGCCGGAGGAGCTGCCTCATCACCGTCTTCAGCCAAGAGATCTGGTCTATTGAAGTGATCACAGGGTACTCAAGTTCGCGCAAGTAGCTGGAGCAAACTACGTGGAAGCAGGCTTTGGATCAAGTCTTCCTAGACCTATTTGGCACCATTTCCTGAAATGCTTCCTGGACCTTTTTAAAGGACCATTTGGGATTCAAGTAGAAACGGTGTCCAGTTGAATCCTCACAACCTGGAAACCCAAACAAACTGGATGCCCCAATGGGGTTGTTTGGGAAAACATCAATTTACAACCGCAATTCCTCCAGAAGTCTGCAGCAAGCAGTGGCAAACATGTCCATACCAAGTTCCTCTTTCGAATGCGGCCACCTCTATCTGAATCCCTCAGCTATAGCCGCTTGTCTTGGTGTCCAGTGTTTTCAGCGGCAGGTGTTGTCTTGGTGGAGCTGTTTGACATGTCCCTAGAAAGACAAGCAAGAAAACATAAGAAAACCAGGCGGTCTCAGTACATAATAAGTCTTATCTGCTGAACCCAGTGCTGAAGCACCATGCAAATTCCCTAAACTTGTGTTTGAGCCTCTGTATGTTCTCTATGTGCATTGGCTTGGTGTGCGGTGTGTAATGCATCTCTTGCAAGTTCCTAATGTCCAAGGGTTGAAGGGTGATTGCTCTTCCATACCACTTCGAAGATCGGATCAATTCAAAAACTGACTATCCCGGCTATGCCCATCGACCACAGGTGTTCCATGATTCTCCTGGTCAAACCTATCCAGTCCACACCTCCCCGGTCTCGCCTCTAAAAAGACCTCCTCAGGATCCAAAAAGGAAGCAAAATGGACGTCGTGTTGCCAAAGGCAGCGACCCAGCCACACGTCCTGCGGGCGACCCATGCGCACCAGGTGCATCGACCCATATGAGGCATCCACGGGCTGGCACGAGGCTGGCGACAAGTAACCGGGCTTTGAGGGAAGTTTGGCTCCGAAATGAAACCCTAAAGGATAGCCCTGGTTGAGTCCTACTGTGCCTGTCCTTGAAGAAACGGGAGTGAGTCCTGGGTATATATGTAATTATAAAGGTCTCAGAACAACAAAAGGAACAAAAGAACGCGGAAGCGAATGATCTTTGGATCTGACAAAGAACGCATCATTCAAACGCCTTGGATGCCCTACAAGTGAGTGTGTTGTCTATATATTAATACTTTCTTGCACTTGGACAAACATGATGAAATCGCAGGAATTCGCCGAACAAAAACAGTGTACAAGTCCAACAAAATTATGAGCACGGCCCCTAGTACGTTGGCCGTTGGTTTACCATGGCTTATACTATAAATAGTAGTATATACTATCCCGAACTTGGACCTGAACTCCTTCGCCTCACCCCAACACGCATCCAAGAGCTCTCAGCACGACCTAGTTCCCTGAGGGGAATTGGGGTGCTTTGGGGCTTTGGGGCGAAAGAGGGGCGAAACGTCCTATACTTAGAACTTCTTCTTGTGCAGAACATTATGCTTATTATATATGTTTATGAGTATATAGGCGTCCTTGTCTGTGTTTGATCGTTCTTGTCCCCTGTACTGTAGGCGCTCTTGTTCCCTGCAGGCGTTCTTGTCCTTTTGGGGGCAATGCTCGAATAAACAAGGATTACCCACCACTGCAATGAGAAAGACACTGAGAAAGACATATTTATACATATTTGCTGTCAATTTGCTGTTCATTATGTTTCTATCTTTTTGCGTAGGCGTTCTTCCAGACAGACGGCGTTCTGGACCCCGTTCCCCAGCTCGCGTTCCCATCAGTGGCTAATTCTGGGAACCTACCCCCTGATGGTGCCGTGGGCGTTTTTGGGATCCGACAGAGGCTGCAACGGAAAGGCGCTCGAACGGTGAAAACGGGCGCCGAACAAACCCTGCGCGGCAAGGAGGTGCCTTACCGGGCCTGCCGAGTCATGGAATGACCAACAAATCGACTCATACAGCCATCTCATATCGCTTGGTTGATGGAGGACTTTCCAGGGGATAGTTGTTGTACACCATGTGTCAAGAACGCGGGAGGGCGCCCCATGGTTGCAGTGCCTCCTCCAGGCCAGCCATCTCAGGCTGCTCCTCACAGCGCTCCAACCTCAAGAGCGATATACCAAAGGCAGGTCTAGGCTTGGTCACTTCCAAGGGATTGACGATGTCAGGACGATCAGGATTCACCCCAGTCCCTGGTAGCAAGTGATCCTGACCCGATCGTTACCGGACCCATGGCAAGTGACAGTGAGGGGTCTTGGATTTTCTTGCTCCGCGTTGGGTCGGCATTAGATTGAACGGAGGTCAGGGTGGTGAGTGGAGAGTTGAATCGCATACCTGACATAATAGCGGAGGGATCGGACACCGTTGCTCCCAAAGTGCATCCCAGCCTTTTTGTGAGTGGGAGGTTCCTTCTTCGATCAACAAAGAAAAAATGGCTCAGAGTTTGTATAGGACTCGGGGTTCATCAGCAATTCAGATTCACATCTCCCTCTTCTCCCAACCGGGAACCACCTCTGTTCTTCGCCGAATTCGAATTCGACACCACGTTTCCCTTCGACGCCAAGCCACATCTTCGGTAGCCCTCTCAGCAAGCTCCGCCGCAGCACGATCCCCAGGCGCCCCTCCGCCACCGCCACGCCCGGCACGCCCGACCGGACCGTGCCCTCCGCCTGGCGCGGGCTCGGGCGGCGGTGGCAGGGCCGCCGGGGGCGAAGCGGGTGGTGTTGGGTCCAAGCCCAAATCCATCGAAATTCCCCCAGAGATGACCTGGAAGGCATCAGATTTAGATGGAATTTCAGTTTTTTTGACTGGCCAAACAAGGTGGGGGGTCCCTGGGTAGAAGCTTTTGAGGTCATCGTTGTTGGTATGCACATTGTGAATAGTTCCACCTTTCAGTTTTGCCAAATCGAATCGACATGACCCGCCCATCGACGCGGGATCCCTCGACGCAGGACCTGCAGGATCGACTGCGGTCGGATGGAGTCGGTCAGACTTTGGCCAGCTGTGCTGGTAAGGACGTTCCGTCCACCTGAAATACACGTATTCTCTCAACCAAGCAATGGAAACGTCAGGACGAAACTAACCAAAAAGAGAAGTAATGTAGACTATTGAACAAAAACAAAACATATATGAATAGATGTTACAAGCATTCACAATCCAAAACCTCGCTGGGGATATTATATAATCAAGAGTCTGTAGATTGACAAACAAAGGTACAAACATCCAAACAACGGCCTACAAATAGAACAGCCTATTTTTTTTGCCACTGAGCATGGGTCCCAGACATACCCCAACGCCCCATGGTCCACTGCTTAACTCGGTCCTTCATAATATAGAATAATCGACTGAATGCAGTGGCTCGCGACATGGTCGGGGAGAAAACGTCCAGCATGTGCAACCGCTTCGTCCGAAAGTGGACGAGCACACCATCAAAAAAGAAGAAATCCACCCCAAAGACCTTACTGAAACAATGGTTTTGGGGGAGGGAGGGAACCGGTGAAATATGGTGACATCTCCTTTTCACATCTTTTCAGTGTCGTTTATCCCAGCCAGCGTCGTTTTGGGACGGAGGGAGCAAGTCGAGCTTCGCACACATCAGGCAGCGCAGTAGGCTTCGCCTTCAGGAAGCCGAGGTACTTCAAAGACGGATCACTGGAAAAGCATCCAATCCGCTCCCTGCGAGAAGGGCACAAAAAGGAATGACCAGAGTTTGGGGAGAATTACGTAGGTACAAGCCCCCTGGTATTGGCGTCTATAGTCATGTTTGTTGTTTGGATCCCCATTCACCATAGATATCCAAAAGTGGTGGTTTACCATTGTTTACCTGAAAACTTTGTGATATGTCTTCGAACCTCACGAACTGTCGTTGTCTGGAAGACCTGACTTTTGACCCAGTTTTGTGTTTTTTAAGTATATTTTAGGGGGGGTGGCTTACCGCCCTGACCGGCAAACGAACATGGAACCTCAGAATCTGACCATTCACCCATGTGGGATCTGGTCGAAATGTTTTCTTCCAAAAAGGGCTGAAAGTCGTGATCACATGGGGGCCCGCTACATATTCTTTACATTTGGCACACACAGCTGGTTAATGAAGGAGACATGGACCAAACAAGTAATTCCGAGTACCTATTACAAAACGGACCCCTAGTTTAAAAAAGAACATGTCGGAAAAACATAGGAACGGTTTATGTTCGGTTTTAAATTACCGCCCTTTCAAACCGCTACTAAACTACCAACATTGCCGAATTTGGGGATGTCTATATTTTATTAGGTTCCCCAAAAGCTCCCTGGTGACCTGGTAGTAGTAGTGGTGGCGGTAGTAGTAGTAGTAGTAGTAGTAGTAGTAGTAGTAGTAGTAGTAGTAGTGGTAGTGGTAGTGGTAGTGGTAGTAATTAAGACTGCACCTGCCACGAAATCTGCACTTCAAGGTCCACAAAGTAATGCGCCTGCCACGAAATCAGCAGTGGACCTGCAATGAGTTCATCAATGATTCAAAGATCCTTCCACTGACCCTATTTTGGACCACCCCTATTTCAGGGACCCCCTGGTTGAAAAAATGCGACCGAGGTTTCCTTACTAGCGCAGTGCGAGCGCGGCTAGCACATTTTGTAGCAGCTACTTGTCAAAACCTGACGACCTTCTGAACATGTCCTAAGTCAAACACCAGCGTAAGTCTACCGCAAACCTAGCGCCCAGCTGCAGAATAGGTGTGTTTAGCTGGGGGCCCGCTACATAATCTAATTGAAAAACAACCTCATAAGCTACTTTCGACCCCTTTATCTATGTTATTATAGACTTTTGGCCGGACTCCATGTGTCCTGTTTTGGGCGGGAACCTTGAACCACCCGAACCGAAGAACCACAGAACCGGGGTTCCCTGTTTGATTGCTTTTTTCGGCGGGATCAGGGATGGGAGAACAAGCGGAAGAATCTCTCAGACTCTGGTGGTGAAAACGAAAACGACAAATATATTTGATGGTCAGTGGGCTCAATCATCCCAAGGAATTCTTGAACATAAACAAAATTAGACAATATTTATTTATATTACATTAATTATGTTTTTTATTGTATCATAGTTGATTATGGGTCTTCACTCTCTTCACAACATCTTGATCTAGCACTTCCGCCCCCTCGCTCACGGTCTGCCCAAGGACCGTCTGCACCTAACCAAGCCTGCAGGCTTCGTTCAAACCGAGCCGCCACCCGCTAAGTGGATCTTCTTGGATCGATGCCTCCCCTTGGATTGTTGACCAACACAGAAACGCCCAGGATGAGAGGATGGGAGGATCCGCTCACCTGCCGACGTCCGCCTAAACTGCCTGAAGCGCAGGTGAAGCAGCAACGTGGCAAAGCCAGAGGAAGAAGTCTTCTTGCGAAAGGATCACTACTGTACAGTCCCCCCCCAAAAAAGAACCCTCCACCACCACACATGTTGGCCGATCCAATGGTTTTGCAGTGACTTGTTTTGATCTGCCACCTCAAGCTCCTGCTTTCACAGTCCCCAACAATTTATCCCGAGTACCTCTTTAAAAACACACCCCTATTAAAAAATAGCAACACCATGTCGGAAACACCTAAATACGGGTTATTTTTGTTTTGAAATCACCGACCTTTAAGACCGCTACTAAACCAACAACATGGTCGATTTTTGTAGTTTTTAAACGTTAGGTTCCAAAAGCAACCCTAACTGCCCACCTCTGTCCACCTCTTTGTCTACCATGACACTCCGCGTTTACACCAGCAGGCTTTCCTTCCCCCAATGACACGGACTCACGCAAACGCACTTGCCACCGAGGCCGCGCATAACGGCATGGCACAGCGACACCACCTTTCGATAGCTTTAGTTGTTAGTCTAATTAATGAAGAGCCATTATTTTAATAAAGGTTTTTGACAAGGGAAAAGGAAGACCCTTCGATCTGGAGGTTTTTAATTTTTTTGATACGAGTTTAATAAAGGTTTTCTGTTTTTCCTGGGTGACTGCTTGGTTTTGAAGCTCTTCCCTGGTGTCTGCACGAAATCTGCACTTCAAGCTTCACAAAGCACTGCGCCTGCCAGGAAATCTGCACTTCTTATAATATGCAATCAATGCTTATTCTGGTACTTGTCATTTTACTTTACATTCAAAGCGGTTCCCTCGTCTTAAATCTACTTTCCACCTCTGATTAAATCTGCAGTCCTCGCCTCGTTAAATTCAAAACGGACTTCAGTCCTCGTCCCAACGCTGACATTTCTTTCCCGACCGCAGGCCATTCGAACTAGTCCTCTGCCTCCTTCCTCTTCTTTTCAGAGGGCTCATCTTGTCTAAGATGGAAGGACGGGCAGGGGCATTGTCGGCAAAAAACGTTCTGGGCGACGAAGAGTTTTTTTCGATCTCAGGGCGATAGGGTGGCCGAGGGGGCGCGCATAAACTCTACCAGAGACCTTGGGAATGGAAGCGCGAACCATACCACTAGACCACGGACGGCTAATGCATAGGCGCGGAACTGCCGCCGCACAAGCATGACATACGCCTCCAAAAAAACACAAACCTTTACAGGCCACGAACAGTTTTTTTTTCCCTGGGACAATGGAGCCACCACAGAGCTCTGACTTGAACTTGCGACAACAACTTTTCGGGCTGCACCCTTAATTCTGCACCCGTTCTTTTAGTTCACACTGATGGCTGGATGTCACAGGGATAAGAGAACATGTATAGAGCTCCTAAGGAATGGCTTGCACCAAGATGATGAAAGACACAGAAGCTGGGGTAACAAAAACTTTCTGGATACCGAAAAGTTTCTTTTCACTCGTTACACATGCTTTGAAAGCAATTTCTGCCCACCTCGTTTTCTGAATTTGAGTTAATTCACCTCGTTAAATTGCCACCTCGTACCTCGTCAGTCCTCGCTCTAAATTGCGCAGATTATTCAAAAGGATCCTCCCACTGACCCCATTTGGACAACCCCGATTTCAGGGACCCCCTATTTTAAAAAAATGCGCCCGAGTTTTTGTTGTTAAGGGAGGACCCGTGTTTTTTCTCAAATGTGGAGGGGATTAGTAGAACAGTGCATTATAACTATATCCTGTCTTTCTTTTAAAAAAGCACGTATTAATTTGTGTCATGTTCAATTTGCTTGGTGCCAACCCCAACACCCACGAACCCCCAACCACCCCGCCGCAAAAATTTGACCTCACCCGGTCACCCACTGGCCTCACCTTCTTCAGGTTCACATAGGAGGAGCTCTTCACCTTAGCACGGCGTCTCTTGCGTCTCGTGTTACCATGGGACGGCTGCCCAGATTCGCGGCCACCAACGCCCAACGCCGACCTTCGGCGTGAAGAAGAAATAGACAAAAAAAAAGAAACTAAGGACCAGCACCACGGATTCCGGGGAGTCCATTAATAGTCCCTTAGAGTCGCCTTAGAGGTCAAAGGTTGTCCATTAACCACCACAACTGGGGGTCCAGGGACGTGACACGTTTCTGTTGCGTTGCTGGACGTCACGCATCCGGACGCGGACGAAGCTGAGCGTTCGCTTCGCGAAGCCGCTTCACCGGTTGGCCGGTGGCTCCACCGATCGATGTGAGAGGAGGTTCCCCATTTTTCTCGAAAAACATCACGAGGAACTTGGATGTTCTCCCCCAAACATCCCAGTTCCTCGAAACATCCCTTCCGAAGGATGTGATGTGATATGTTCAGTTATCAGAAAAACCGTGCTATACATGTGATGCGTCGTTGGAGAAAAACGCGTGCTCAGTTCTCAGCCAGTTATGGGTGAGAGGAACCTGTTTTGGGAGCCTGAACGCATCGATGCTTCTGTAGTTCTGATTGAATATCTTGGAAGGGTGGATTTTGTGATCGTCCACTATATACGTGGGATACGTATGGTTCAAAAGCCTAGAGATGTAACCAGTGCTTCTTGGACACTTCTTTTAACAGGTGGATGACCAATACACCTGGTAGAATGAATTGAAAGTCAATACACAATACAAACAGCAAACTTCCATAAACTTCCCCCTATCTGCCTTCTCACTAGGGTGCCCTCAGATATACCCGTGACGGGTCTTCAAGATGTTCGAGCCATTGCAAATCATGAGTGCTTTTGTGTAAATGATCCCTTGCATCTGACTTTGTTGGGTTTGAGACCATCTAAGACACCTTCTGGATTTCCTTCGGACTGACACATTCTTCTCCAAGAATTGTTGCAGAAATCGTGCTCGGAGACTCTTGCAAATGATCCGTCATGAGCCAACACGCACCTGCGCACCCTCATTCTGGCAAGGCGCCGTCAACAGCCACTCGCACTCTTTTGGAATCCAACTTGCAGCCCAGCGCCACACACGCAGCTTGCGCCTGGCAGGGAGCCCCTGCGAAGAGGGCTATGGGAGGAAGGGCCGGTGTTCTAGGTGTTGTAACTCTCTGCTATAGTGGTCACAACGAAAACCCAGTGTTCCAGACAGTTTCAAGATATTCACCTTTCTAATCTACTTCGGAGTCACATGGCTACATGTCCTTCGTAGAAGGATACACTTGAATCCTGCAAAATGTGTGTGTGTGTGTCTGTGGGCGTGTGTTGCAATTTTGGGCCCTGCTGTAGTTTGTTCCTACCATACCCATTTTACAAGAGGGAAGCACCCAAAAGACGAGGGCAGGCCAGGAATCAAAATTTGCAAAGAGCTTTCAGCACAAACACGAATGTGTCGGACCACCAGCGTTTTGAATAATAGCACCATTATACGTAGAATAAACTACACTGCGGATAAATCCAGTCAAAGACAGCATTGACACCAAAAGCCAACGAACAATGATCCATCAAATCTCGAAACTTGGCCATCTACTTTGTAGTCAATGGGTTTTGAATCTCTCCACATGGACTCAACTTTTGGATTCAATCTTGTGAAGTGGCAGGTGGCTTATCACACTGCCACGCAGCCTGGTCGAGTGCTTGCAGAGGAAAAGAAGTCTCCCATCCCCAGCCATGGGAACTTCCATGTTTGTTGGCTACATTTCATCTACACAAGAATATGGTCTCTCCATGTAGACGGGTGATTAATATACAAACAAGCACCTGTTTGGACTGCAGAACTATCCAGATGCGTGTTGTTCGTTTTTTTTTATCATACAACTTATAACAGTCTACATCAGCCAAACTGCTAGAATATAGTTGAGAAGTAGAGAAAGAAAGAAAATGAATGAATGAATGAATGAATGAATGCATGAATGAATTCATTATTCATTCATATGAATGAAAATAAATGAATGAAAATGAATGAATGAAAATGAATGAATGAAAATGAATGA